CTTACATACGCGTATGTTCTCCTTTTTCTCTTCTCTCTCTCGCTCTCTTTTTTTTTAATATATATAAAAACGAATCTCGAGCCGTTTTCTCTAAAATATGGAATCGGCCGCAACGATGTGTGCGTGTGTGTATGTATGTGTGTGTGTGTGTCCCGTTGCGTCTCTCGCGGGTGGAGACGCGCGTCGAAGAAATTCAGAGAATTATAATTGAAAACTCGATGTCCCCTTTCAAACCCTCAACGATGTTTATCCTAAAGTATTATAAAGTACAAATTACGAGAACGCGATAACACCAGCCGAGCTTCGAAACGTTCCTCCCGCACGACCTTCGCCTTATCACGCGATTTCCCGTTCATCCGTTCTCGTTGCCCAACGAGAGCAAGCCCTAGAACCAACTCTCGTTACCCTCTTTCATCGCGAGAGGCACGAACGACACGTCGTCGGACTCTCGGCGTTGCGTCGGCCCACTTTCCGTACGCGAAAAAAATTCCCGCGTTGACACTTCTGCGGAACAATACCGAATCCAGGAAGAACGCGAGCGAGTCGTCGCCGACGAACGAAAAGATCCGAGAGAAGAAAAAGAATTCGGACGAGAGGAAGGTCCCGGAGGCTCGATGGATTGCCTTTGTCTCGTTCGCGGCCTCGGCCTACACCCGTGCTCGACGCAGGTCGAATCGTTTCTGCGGACGATTCAAGCGTCCCTCGGCGTGTCGAACCTGTGTCGCGTTGCGCGCGATCTCTCTATATGTTTCTCGTACGAATATAATGTAATTATACGGTCGGTTACGGGTATAATCGGTACGCGCTACGATAACAAACGTTTGATTGAAAATTGTTTATATAATAATCGAAGCTACACGGAGTCTCTCGCTCTTTTTTTCTTTCTTTCTGTCTGTCTGTCTGTCTGTCTCTCTCTCTCTCTCTCTCTCTCCCTCTCTTGCTCTCTATCTTTCTCTCGTTCGCTCTATACACACGCACACTCTTTCACACTCTGTTCACCTCGGCGTGGTACTAAAAACGTTAAATTGCAAAAAAGAGGCGCCGCCGTTTGTTTCGTTTCTCTCCACTCGGTGACTGTGTCTGTGTTTCCTCGTGTATGCATGTGTCTGTGTGTGTGTTTGTGTCTGTATGTATTTCTTTGGTACCATCTAATCGTTTTGTTAATCAGTGATCGGTACTTCGGGAAGATCGTATTGTGCATCATTCGCTACTTGCTTCTTGTAATCGTTTACGAAACTATTAAGAAACGCTAGATCCTACCACCTATTTCGCGCTAAAGGTTCCTCACCTGCTCTTTCCGTTTCGTTCATGTTGTCCAACGGGCGCTTTGGTGCTCGCTCGTTAATGTCAAATCGTCTCGTGAGAAGCCGCTGCATCAATTTCTTTCGTTGTCACTCCTCGTTATCTTCCCCGTTTACAGACGCCTCGCCTCTCTCGGAGTGTCGCCAAATTTCGCCTAAAACGCAACGATCGATCACTTTGGCTCTCGAACCGAGATCGGTGAAAGCCGTCATCGTCGAGCTTCGAACACGTTCGTTTCCCTCGACAGATCACTCTGTTCGGACAGATACTCCCTCGTTGAAGTAGTATCGGTAGACGATAAGGCGAACGGCTGGCAATTAGACGCGACGCAGCGTGAATAACCGCGTGACGATCGAGCTTCCTCCTCAACGAGTATTTTCTTCCCCCACTTCGATGTCATCGTCGTACCTCCGATCGTCACGGTTCAACGTGGAGTTATGGTGATGTCGTAGCAGCAGAAGCGTAAGATCAGATTTCGACGCTAGAGATCGGTAAAAGTCGGTGAAACGCGTGGAGGATCAAACAGCGCCTGGCTACGGGCGTTTCTTCCGCGAGTAAGTTTCTTCCGTAGCAATGATGCGTTCAGATGCTTATGTAACAGCAGCGGCTACAGAGTCGAACAATTCAGACGATTCGTGGATGTATGGTATGACGCGCCGCAAAAGAAACACGAGCTCGCTTCTCAGAGCTGCTGCAAGGTGCTTGTGAACCGTGCGAACCGCGACCGGTTTCCTCATCCTCGTGTGTCTTCGAGAATCGAAAGCGTGTACAAAAGTTGTGTGATAACGTTCGAAGTATGCGCGAGGTGAATATCTCGAAGTGAATATCCGAATCTTACGTTTGGATATCTGCCACATTTCTCTTATTTCTTTGCCGCCGTGTGTGTGTGCGTCTTTTTTCCCCTCTGCTCTTCGATTCACCGTGATTAATTATGAATTCTGGTCTCTCCTCGTTACGATTTGACTCTCTGCGTCGGCAAAGAGCTTCCTGCGAGTATTTTTTCTCCTCTGTTTTTTCATCTTTTTCTTTTTTTTATTTTTTTGTTGTTGTTGCTGTTGTTGTTTAGTAAAAAGCTAGGCCGCTATTAGGCGTTCAGGCGATTCCGGATACATCGTACACGTTGTCTCTTCTAATTTTCTCTCTCTCTCTCTCTCTCTCTCTCTCTCTCTCTCTCTCTCTCTCGTCGAACAGCAGTCGCGCTGCGATTTCACATTCTTCTCCGTTTTATTTTTTTTTTTTTCGTATCCTTATATTCTTAATCGATATCACGTTATACCTATGTTTATTATAATCTACGCGCTGAAAACGTACTTTGAAACATTTTTATATAATACAGAGTATGTCAACGCGAATTAAAAAGTTCCTCTTCACTTTCTCTCTCTCTCTCTCTCTCTCTCTTTCACATTCTTCCTCTCCCTCTCTCTCGTTCAAAATTATCAACGTGTCTCACTCACACTCTCGCTTCTGGCATAAGTACACATAAGTACAGTCTCTCTTTCTCGCCCGTACTCTCTGCTTCTCATCGCGTGTACATGTAACAACGACATAATAATAATAATAATAATAATAATAATAAATGATAACGATAATAATAATAATAATAATAATAATAATAATAATAATAATAATTATTCAACATCATCTAAAGGTATCACCACAGCGTGTCATAGCGTGACATCGAAAACTCGAAAGAACGTTAGCGAAAAATAGCTTAGCGAGAATCCCTCTCGTTCCGGGATCACGGAACCACGCTTCTCCCTCCCCCTTTCTCCCTCCCTTTTTTCTCTTTTTATTAACGAAAAAGTCTGTTCTCTTTGTCTCGGGCACAAAGTTCTTGGCTTCTCTTCACACGAATTTCCTCTCGCTTTCTCTCTCTCGCTCGTTCCGTGATCTCGCGTAATCGAGTTTCACTAGCTGGTCACTTCTTCTACGGAAGAAAGAACCGCGTGCAGCGAGCCGATCGCAAGGTGAATACCATCAAGAAGAGGTGCAGGTTAGCAAGCGTCGCGAGTGTTCGTTTCGAAGGTGGATCGAGCTGGCTGCACGCCGCGTTCTCTCCAAAGAACAGCGTTCTGTCTGTTTCGCTAAACGAAACGCGCGTTCAGGAAGGTTCGAAACCTCTTCTCGTGCCTCGTACGTAGATTATCTGTTGGATTAGCTTAGTAGTTTAGAAGTTAAAAACAGGCACGCCCGAAACCGAACGGGTGGAATCGTTCGCGAAACGAGGGTGGTTTGCGCTCGATTTACGAAATTTTGCCGATTAGCTCGATATTGTTAAACATTGCAATTCTTAAGACTCTCGAGGTGTTTTTTTTTCTTTTCTTTTTTTNTTTTTTTTTGTCGAATAACTAGGTACCTGAGAGTTTGATTCATTGGAAATTCTCAAATATTAATCCTCAGGATTATTACTCTCAAAGCACGTTTCTCGAATAATCACGCGAGAGTTCGATTTGAACGTTCGATTGAAACTTATTCCGAAGAGGCGTACCGCTAGAACGATCAGTAAACTTGAATCGATTTGTTCAAAATTCTCAGGACACGTTATTATTCTAAAAAACACACATTTCTGGAGCGGCGTTTGAGAGATTTAACCCTCGTCTGTCCCTCGTGGCAACGTGAAGTGGCAACTTTCGTATAAAACGTTACGATATCTTACAACACGGGATTACAACAGGTACGGGTTCTAACGTGCCACCAAAATTTGCAAACAATATCTCCAGATCGTTGCCTTCCGTCATTACAATCACGCACCACGTTTTCGAAGATGCGTACGAGGCATCTGTGATTTTAAACGTGGGCGGATAACGAGCGAAAATCTGAAACAAACGATCGCAGCATTAAACAGAGTTAGATCAAGATGTAACATGATAAAAGATCGGGATGTGAAATTGAACACTTGCACGACTCCGTGCGAATCTTACGCGATGTTTCATCTACGTAAATGGTTCCGCCTATTTATCATTTCACTGCGTGTGTCGATCTTTCACCACTCAATCGTTGGGGTCGGTTCGACAAATTATATTTGGGAAGACGAAAGACAGACGAGAACCGAGAAGAATTTGAAGAATTTTCCACTCGACCACCCTCGCTTCGACGATTCACGCGAATTTGTTCGCCGCTGCAGCGCCGAGGATCGACGGATTCGTTCTCGATCGGTAAGAATCGACGTCGACGTCCGGTCGATGGATAAGGGGGAGGGCAAGCTCTTCGTGGTTCCGACCCTCGCGCGACGTCTGTTTCTCCTCTCGCGGTGGACGATTTTCGTGCAACCTCGCAGGGCGCTAATGAAAAGAACGACCGAGCGAGGAGCAACGCGGACGATTGCTCGAGGTCGATCGCTTGCCAATTACCGACCGAGTAACGCGATCGCGTATCATGTTTCTTTTTCTTTTTCTTTTTTATTATTTTCTTTTTTTTTTTTTTTTTTTCCCTGAATGAATTTNTTTTTTTTGTCCCTGAATGAATTTTCTCGGCGACGTCATCCTCGAAGAAACGTTTCCCCAGAGCTTCCAGTGCTCGCGATGAAAAGCACACGGAAGGGGAGGGAAGCTGTGTCGGCGCGCGCGACAAAACGAAGCGGACGCCCGTGCGAAGATTTTGCGAACACGCGACAGAGAGTAGATTTGCTAAGTTCTATGTATCATATAGGCGAAAAGAGAATGCTGTCTTTTTTCTTTTTATGTATATGTGTATATATATATATATATATATATATATATACATATATATATATATATATGTATGTATATAGAGAGAGAAATCAGCGAGCGGTCAGGCCGTCCACTGTGTAAACGAGGAATCGTCGATCGCTTGCTCGGAGGATGAAACCGTGCCAATGGCAGAATCGGTGACGGCTCGTCGGTTCGATATAGCAATTGCAATTCACTCGACGCGGTTGCGGAACCCGATTTGTCAATTCGGCTGACGCCACTTCAATGAGTCGCGCGAGTAGTATTCTGCGAGTTGGATCGTGCGCTTCGACGATCCTCGCGCTTGGAGACCGGTGCGTCGAGCTTCGAGCGTGCGAGAGTCTGTGACGAGTGGCGTCGACGAGCAAGTTGCACGAATCGAGACGCTACATCTAGGATAAATATCCGTAGAAGGAACAATGGTAAGAGTGCGGCTCTCGTAAGAGGAGGTACAGGTACGAAGAGAAGAAGCGTGGAGAAGAGAAAAGAAGGAAGGGAAGAAAATAGGAGAAGAAGGGGCAGGGCGGGGCGGGGTGGAGGGGAGGAGAGGCGAGGAAAGAGATAAAGAAGAAAAGAGAAAAAGGGACGTGGGAATCGTAGCGACAAAAGTGGTGGATCACCGTGATCCACGAGACGTCTACTCGCGCCAAGTAGACAACGTTTCGGCGGGATCGTTGGCACGACTGGCCGACGCGCTCGCTGCGTTTCGGACAAAGCGACGACTACGGCTCCTGTTCGTCGAACAGAATTTCGCCGCCTTGGAATTCTTAACGAGACGAGTATTTTGTTTCAGGTATTTCAATAGGTTTATACAATATGTACACGTATTCTCGACTAGAACGGAAAGAAAAAGAAGAAGAAGAAGAAAAAGAAAGAAAGAAAGAAAGAAAGAGAGAAAAAAAAGACAAAGGAAAGAGAGAAAAACAAATACGCTTCGTAATATTGAGTTAACGTGTAATAATCGTTCGACCGTATCAAACCGGCGATATTGGGAGGGTGACGAGATTCTTCGGTGGGAACGAGGGAAGGGGATCGTGATGCATCGACACTGTTTCGATAGTTATTTCAGGAAGGCTGTTGTCTATCGTTCTCCTCTGTCGATCGATCCGGCGCTCGAGGAAGATTTTGCTCGTCGGCCGCTGGACGACTCGCCGACGACGATGATTATGACGATGACGAGACCCGTAAGTGTGCGTCCATCTGCCGTCCTTGCTGGACCTTTCTGGCTCGCTCCCGGTTTCCTACACCGGACAGACCAGCATCTCGTACTCGAACATCAGCGAGACGGCGACGAAGACGAAGTAGAGGAGGAACATGGTGAACCCGAGTCCCTTGTTCATCCGCCACTTGAAACAGGCGATGCTAAAGATCACGAACGACAGCATGCAGAAGAGGATCGCTATGCTGCACACCATGCCCACCGAGTTCACCTCCACGGGTCTTCCGTAGATCAAGCCGTACAGCAACCACGGTACCGGAAGCCTGAAACACAACGGAAAATCCAGCCGAATTTCACTGTCTACTTTACTTCGATTCCATTACTTTAGGATATTATATATGTATACTCCGGCTCTACTCTAACCGACCAGAGTGTTTGTCGCTGAGACAAACGGACTGTGGTTTCGCGGAGTTTGACATGAAACAGTCGAACAAAGCACGATCGTTGCATGTCAAACTTATTATAGTCAAAGACTGTTGGACGTTGAAATTAATTGTTTTTCGAACGAACTATGTTGTTGTTGTTGCACTCATTCGATAATTCTTCAAATTATTATATCGAAATGTTTTTCCCAAATGCGTTTAAAATTTTTAATCGAAAATGAAAAACCTTCTTTAATAATTACAATCCAAAATGCAAAACAACAACTTCATTCGGTTTTACGATTCAACGTTATTTCAAGCGTTATTCATTAGATTTATTCGCCGATAAACGATGCTGCCGGATTAATCGGCTATTCGTTTATCTCGTACCAGAGATCGATCCCATACTGGCCAGTTAAGAGAGAGATAGAGAGAGAGAGAGAGAGAGAGAGAGAGAGAGAGAGTTCTATCGTGTTCTTCTCTAAAGAAAATTCCTTTGCCCCCCTCGTATGTAAAATATTTCAAAAAAAATATTAAAAAAAAAAAAACGATCGAGATCCCTGCCCGATACGTAGGCAGACTACTTGCACACGTTTCAGGAAGGGAAACGACTATTTTTAACCAAATGGCCCGTGACCTCGTTCCGTCTCGCGGCGAAGCAAATTGAGAAACTCCTCGGCCGGAAAAAAGATTTCGATGCACCCTGTACACACGTCATCCCTCCCCCGCTCCCCCCTCCCGCGTGCAAACCGAAAGGATTCGATTCACCGACCTTTCTCTATCCTGTCGCTTGTCAGTTTACTCACGACCTCTGCCCTCCCCTAACCGGGTCGCCAACACAGATATTAAAGGGGGAAACTGGAATGCGCGCGAAACGTGGGAGGAACGACGCGTTGCGACGCGCGTTCGATAAATCCCATCGGACAGACGTGATGATCCGTTGCTTCGCCAGTTTCTTTCGGAGCAAGGCCCCCCGTAATCGTAATCTCGCGAGCAATATCGCGCGCCTTTTCACCCTTCTTCCCCCCCCCCCCCCCGCCGGAAGTTGGCAGAGCTGCAGCCGAAGCATCCGACACGGTTACTGCAAGCGTTTTCCTGCTTTTCTCTCGGGCAACTCGCCAGCTGGCACCGCTGCAACGGATGCGTGTCGAGCGAATCGATCTTCGATCGACTCGACCGCCGGATGCTGGGACACCCTGGGCCAGAAAATCGTGCGTGTATATGTGCATATATATATATATATATATATATACACACACACATCTATCTGTGGATGAATACGCGTGCGTGCTACCTTCTATACGTGGGTGTATAACGCGATGTGTTGTTTGATCGAGAGATCGGCGAATTTTGGAAAGACGATGCTTTTTTCACTTGCAGTGTATAGCAGAACCTACTATTGAGATATACGAACTCGTAACTGATCGACTTCATCTCCTGTTGCAGTGCAACCCTTCTTTATCGAAATCATTATTTTATAAATATCTTGGTACATCGTATCGGGCAATTATTGTTAGTTTGCTGGTAAGTGAATAATCATCTCCTAGTAATAAACACTTTATTTTGTTATCTTGTTATTCTTGTCTTTTATCACTTATCTAGAATCTTTCCTTTATCCAAATTGTTTATACTATTTTGAGAATATCTTAATATTCGAATGTTGTATCTATCTGGACCTCTCGGAACAGAGATTCGCACTTCGTTGCGGTTAGATGTTAAAATATTCGTCAATTGAAAAAGTAATTATGTTTCATATTGAAGTAAGACTGGTGCGAGAATGGTAATTACGTCAATATTTTTTTTGCATAAATTACAACAGTTTAAAAATCTAGTACTCGATTAATGGGAGTCGCTGTTTCTTCTATCGATTATAAAATTCTCTCCAATTACATTACTCCTGTCATTCCATTTTTAGTGTCTTTATTTTTAATATTCAGCAGAATAATTACATCAATATACATTAATATTAATTATTCCATTAAATATTATATACTTAATTCATTCAACTTCCGTAAATTTTTTTTTTATTTTTTTCTTTTTTACTAATTCTCTTCTTTTCAAATTTATCGAACATAAATACAAAAAGTATCAACTACGAGTTGAATATTTCGACACGTGTCGAAAGCGTTGAATGACGACCGCCGTGTCATCAATCACGAACGCAAGAGGTACGAATTGAAGAGGAACGTCCGCGTTTTGGAAAGTCCGCGAGCGGCAAATTGATCTCGTGATTCGTCGAATAAACTGTCGCGTCTGCCTGCCGTTCTCGAACACGAAACAATTCCAGGGTATCGGGTGGGGGAGGGAGGGTTGATTGGTTATTTGGTTCACGTCGGGCAAAAATTCCGCCAGAATGAACGCCGTCTGTTCGCGTTTTATCGCTGCGCCACGTAGCAGGCGTATCCGCCTGTCCGCCATAATCCATTCCACGTCGTTATTGTTCCTGGGACGATTACTCCGCCGCGGAGCGGTTAGTTCAGAGATTCTGCTTTCTCGAAGTATCTCGGGTGGTGTCCCTGCTGTCGTCCTACTTTCGCGGCCGCGTTCGGCACCAAGACGACTCGATTAATTAACTTGCGCGTCGCAGGTCTTTGGCTCTTCATCTCTTTTCCTTTCGCACGAAGATATTCGTGCCGGTGCGTGTGTCCATTAGCGAGCAATTGTTGCGACATATTTTTTACGATAGCGACTTCCGTGACGTGTGTAAACGTGCACGTGAGATCACGGACCGATAGTTGGACTCATTTGCGACAGTTGCTCTCGGAGATACGATTCGTAGTGCAAATAGTGTCACATGTTATGTCGTGTATGTCGGACAGTGGTAGTCGGTTTCCAACCGGTATATCTGAAGTATTTGCGGGGGACTTTGGACAGTCGAACCGAAGTATTTACATATTACCTGCCGAAACATTTGCAGAGAGTTGATAATAAAGACACTAGGAAAAAGATATTGGTCGAAGGGAAAAATTTTCCCTTAATTCCGCGATTTGGTAGCGTCTCTGTCGTCAGCTTTGGGACGTAGAAAAATAAAAACTATCGCGTAAAGATAAAGAAACAGGAATCCTTCTACCGAACATTGAACATTTAAAGTTATTTGCGTACGTAAAAAAATTATTATTTATCGTACGTAGGAATTGTCCAATTTCTAATCCAGACTTTCTTCCTTTCTTTTAAAATAATTGCAATACGCGTTCAACCCGCGCAATTAACATGACACGACAGAACTAAACTCACAATTCTTTCTTGTAACTCTACTTGCACTCCGAATAACGCGAACATCCCCGACATTCGTTGAGTAAGAGATTTGGAGAACAGCGTCGATATTTTTGCAAGCAATCGCACAAAGTGTCGCAAGTTATTCACCAATGGACACGCACTTTATCCGAAAAGGAGCACGGAGAGTTTTTTCGACTTAGTGCTCCGTAACTTCGGGAAAATATTCGCCAACTGAGATGTATAAAACGATCCTTTGCCAGCCAGCGAAAAAAAAAAAGGATCCGGACGCGTTGTTTGAGCTTCTATGGTAGATCATCGTGGAAAATGAGTCGCGTCTGGCACGGTATTTCTGCTATTTCGCGCGCCAACAATATAATAATACCAAGAAGTGTGTGTATGTGTGTGTGTGTGTATTTGGAAGAGAACCATTGGAGGACGAAGCAAACGATGAACGACGAATGGCGAACGGCTATTACAAGGGAATAGCGAGAATACCTCAATGGGCTGGCGCAACGACCAATTCCACGCGTCTCCTCTTGGCTCCGTTTGAAACCCGCCGGTGAAATTCCAATTTATACGTTCGAATCCTGTTCGTACAATAACTAGGTAACGGCCCGTGTCCACGATTCCATTCCCGTCAGGAGTCTTCCAGCAATTTGGCCCGCGTCAAACTCAACTTGGATCCTGTGCCACCGTTTTTTTCTTTTTTTTCCTTTGGAAATTTTTCGAAAATCGCGACAGTCTTGGGATTGAACTCCAGACCAGACTGGATCTTTCTTACGATTTTTTTTACACACGCGTCGACGTAGAACAAGCAACTTTAATTTTAATTTTTGTCAGAAGAATGCGTACGCGTCGGCTAGAAAAATTCACTTTGCATTATGTTATTACTTTGACAGATTGTTAACCTGAATTTTATAAGACAAGGGCGATACGAATACAGAGAATACTCGTTTTTCGCGCGATAGATTGTACAAAATAAGGTTCAAACACCTCGCGAACGAATAATTTGTCGACACAGACAGAGAGTGCCGAGCTGCGTGAATCATCAGTGGATTATAGAAAAAAAAAAAAGAAAAAAAATGAATGAATACTGGACGATTTTTTGATATCGCCAAAAATAACGTAGATACTTGATACAGTCGTTACAGTGCTTAGAGCATAGTCATTTTTTGTTTAACGTTAAAATCAATTGTAACGCGATTTTTTACGGAAGATTATTCTATAGTCTATTACTATATTACTATAATGTATGTCGGTAACGTTGGTTTCAATGACGTTGCGTCTTTGGCCATTAAATAGTCCATAGTCAGTCCCGAATAGGTCAACAACCAACCCGATTCTCCGAGCCACTCGAGAATTCTCCCAGTCTGAGGAACTTTTTATTTTAATCATCTCGAATTTAAATGTGATTTAGCTACCAGAGTATAATGGATATTTAAATGGTCGGGAGATACAGCGCACTATCCGCGCGGGAAGAAAGATATACATTTTCCAAGTTCGAAGGACAATTTCTTTCTCCGACGCCGTCGAACAGTTTCCGATATATACGCGGCGTATCAGTGGGGGATTCTAAACGTATTAAAAATCGCTTACGTACATCCTCTGTCCAACGACTTTATTTATCTTCAACGATATCTATCTCTACGTTCCGCCTGATAGAAAAGCAATAAATGCAAACCGAGCAGTCGCTTTGGCTTATCGTATGCGGCGGCCGTAGGAACAGTTTCGTTCCGCGTTCGTATTTAAAGTCGTGTTTTGCAAAGCGACCAGGCGAATAAAAAGTACGTACGAATTACTTGGTCAAACGTTGGGATAACCTTTCGTCGCGTTCCGAGACGTTTTTCAAAAGCGCTCTGGCACAAATACATAGCCGCTGGCTCGGGTAAAATATATTTCAAATCGTATCGCATATTTCTTCGAATGTCTTCTTTCTTTCGAATATTCCATTACATTGAATGATGAAACGGAATACCGAAAGATCTATCTTTTAGCAAACTTTGTGAAAATTGTTGTTGCCGAACAAGTTGGATCACACTGTCCTCAAGAACGACATAAATCGAACTGAAATCGATTTTACAATAAATTTTGCTGTTTCATTAGGATCTATCACGTCCAACGTTCCACGTATTTTCAAAAATTGACTCGAAGAAATCGAGCTAAAACTAGCTATATTTTATTTACGAGGACCTAACATTATGCCCAGAAAGTATCGACGTTGCACGAAGAAATATTATAGATTTTTCCATAGATTTTTAACCGATGGGTTAAACTTTATCAAGGTTCGAGCTTCACCGAAAAATCTTTTGGTCCATTAATAATAACGATATGCGACAGTTGGTTTTAGTTCTGAGGGCATATGCAAACTTCCTCCACAACGGCGAAGGGGTTTGCAGGAAGGAAACAATTAGGACGCCAGCCTTACCAGTATCATTCACCGCTCGCAGGATCGGAGATCACGTTTGCTCCGATGCTGAATTGCAAGAAATTTTGCTCTTGGGGACGTGGTATCTACGAATTGACTCCTTATCGGCGCGCAGCGTGTGCATCCCATAGTTCCCTTTTAGTCGCCTTTTACGACACGCAGGGAATACGTTGGGTTTATTCTTTTCCCACACCCACAGGGATATGCGACAGAGCGATTTCATTTACCGGTTATCTATATTATCCAATTAAATAGATTGTGCCACGCGCACATGTTTCCGATGTTTCCAATAGGTGGCCGATTGGCGAATCTGTCAGAGGACCGTTTCTTTAGTTCCTTTCATCGGAGTAATCGTTCGCGACGTCGGGCAATTTCCGTCCCCCACCGAAGACACTCTCTCTTCTCTTTCTCCGAATCGATCGAAAAACCTCAAGAAAACTTGTCCCTTGTTTGTCCGACGTAGGAAAATAGAGAAAAAAATCGCGTAATCGAAATTTGCCAAGAAGCAACTACGTAACGATGGCTACTCTTTCAAATTTTCCTGCTTCTGGTTAATTCTAACCGACAAGCGTTCGATCTTCTCGCCCTTGCTTGCGCTGGAATGACGTGCCACGCACGTCGAGAATTTTTTGCTTCAAATTGCAACATTTTTTCAGTTTTAAGTATATTTAATAAATGTATATATATATAAATATATATATAATGTAACCCAGGTAAAACGAATGATAAGTTTGTTACTTCTTAATAATTTCTATCCAGTGATATCATACCGACGAGTTCAAGAGAAAAAGAAAACGACGAATTATTGTATACAGTTCGGTCACTCGTTATGGTCCGCGAACCATAGTTGCCAGCGCAAGGGGTGAAACAATACGTTCAGAGCGACGGCTGATTTCTTCAAGATTTGTCTGTCGCGTTAACCTTCTTCCCTAGTTTGTTCTGCCTAGACAAAAGTCCCGAGCCTTCCGTGAAATGATCGTAAACTTGCGAAAGATCACGACGACGAGAAATGTTGCATTCCAGGTGAACACCAGCTAACGAGACGATTCCGCCGGCTCAAAGTGACGTAATCTTATTACCCCTTAACCGTCTTCTGGAGAACAATGGCGTTTCGGCCATATCTCCGGCTATCTCCTTCTTTCTCCTCGCCGTATAATGTACAATAAATTCCCATAATTGCACCGTGAAACGGACACGTTTGAATATCAATCGACTTGCTGCTGCGTGGGAAACGTTCGTGCGATCGTCGATCTGAGGAGATTATATTTTCATTTCACGATGAACGCTATAACGGTCGGAAACATTACTATAGTGTGATACGTAAGAAAAAAGAAACCGCTCGGAACCGAGGTTCCTTCGCCGGGAAGGTTTGAAAAAATTGTCTCGTGTCGCGTAGGTTACAATCTTGCTGGAGGTTTATTGTCAGATTGTGTGCCCCGCATGAAAATTGCCATAACCGATGTCCCCGATAACGCCAAGCGCGATGGCCGTTTATAACCGAGTCGTATAAATCCATACACGACCTACATCGGACTGCAGAGAAAATAAATATCGATAAATTATCTCGGCGGATCGCGGCGAAGAAATTGAAAAACCTCTCGAATTTTTTCTTTTTGCGTTCGATGTATCTTCGACAAACGCGTCGTCCATCGAACGCATCTTCCTCCCACAATTGTCATCGTTTAGCCAATGTTACTTTTATATTACTTATACGACTGAATTACAGTAGGTCAAAAATTGGCAAATCCTATTCTTCTTGCATCTCTGCGAGAACAAAACTTTTGACTCGCAAACGAGTACCTTTTTTCAAATTTTCATATTCCTCGTATTATTGGAAAATTGTTACTATACATATTATTTGGATCAGTTCTATGGTAAGTTCCATTCCTATGCTAGCGAGCTATCCACATGGAAATATCGAAAGAAGAAATACGTTCGATCCCGGTATACAGTTTCTCACGCAAGTGTTCGAGCATTTATAGAAACTTTTTACGAATGCATTTCGCATGTTACACAACAGGGCACGTTTTGAAAATTCATCGACGCTGTAATGCGACTCGGTATTACCATAAATTCGAAGCAAATCTAAAACATATAGAAATTACATGATATATTTAATACAAATATACGCTTCGCTTGAATATCGCAAAATTATTCAAACAGTCGGCGATCCATTATATCAACAAGCCTTCGGTAGAATTACATTTGACATTTGTTACATGCTTGTCAAATAGTTATTTACATCGTGTGCTAACTTTTTATGTAATCTATGTTTCATTAAATGACAATTATAGTAATAACAATGATAATGATATTAAAATTATAATTATAATTATATATAATATATTAATTAAAAAAATTAAATAAATATAAATAAAAAAGTTAAATATTAAAATTATAATTATAATTATTATTAAGCATATTTTAATAAACAAGTGCACACATCTGTCTGCTGCCAGATCTTTTTATATTCCTTCTGTATTCTGCATTTCAAATTTTGCCAATATATTATCGCGACTCATTCGTGTCTCATTACAGCTTTTGGCGCTTAATCAAGTGCCAAAATATTTTATACAACACGCACGACATCATCAAACGATAAAAGTTCCTCCGTGACGAACGCTCGTATACTTTCACCAGCCACTGTATACGTGATACACACAAGACGGGAAATATAATGCTCACCCAACTGTCACGTCGAAGATGTTGCTGCCAACGGAGCTCGAGACGGCCATGTCGCCGAATCCTTTTCGCGCGACGATCACGCTGGTGATCAGGTCTGGGATGCTGGTACCGGCTGCGAGGAACGTCAGTCCCATCACTTCCGGCGGGATGCGAATCGTGTCGCCGGCGACGTTCGCCCACCAGACCATCAGGTACGAATACGCCGCGATCCAGCAGATCGAGCCGATGAACGTCACCGCGAAGAACTTTTTCCCTGTAACAAACAGATCGGGGATCGGATCTCGAACAAACGTCCCTCTCGTATCCGCTAGAAACGAGATTCCCCTCTCTCCTCTTCCTCGAGGAAATTTCACCCTTTTTCTTCCTTCTCTTCCTTTTTCCTCTCAAGTCTGTTCAAACGTCGAATTTAGAAATTTAAGGCACTTTCGTTTCCTGTTTCCTTTTTTATTTTCGACAAAAATGTGATGACGAGCAACGTAAAAAATAACTAAAAAATATATTTGTATGCGGATATAAAAAAATCACTTTCGTGTCAATTTTCCTTTTAGAACGAACGACACAAAATATATCTAAAAATATATATATATATACAATTATTCGTATAAATTAGAAAGTTTGGAGAAAGACTTTAGACGAAAATTTGTACCCTTCTCTTCATTCAATTATCTAGAAATTCAAATTTCATTTCTTTGAATTTCTTAAAATCTGCCTCATGTTCAAACCATTGCGAACGAAATTAAATACATTCGCCGTCATGCAAAACCATCGTTTAAACTTGTATTCTGATATTCCGTGATACGATTCAGCGACATTGTCATCAAAATTCTATTCAAATTTGTTCGCTGTATTATTTGAAACGAATAACACAATAACGTTGGACCTTGGTAAGGGTTCAAAGGGTCTTCTTTAGAGCCTAACACTGAAAAGTCTGCCCTCTGCCCACGATAAAACTAAAAATTATTCAAACTGTTTGAGGGAAAGAAGTCGACCACGCCCAACACTCCCTGTAATCGCGATAATCGAAATCTAGCCTTGAATCTCTGCAATTGCATTAGGCAGATAAGAATCGGAATGCTTCTACTATTACCGGTATTAATATCACTGCTATCGAGAATGAACTTTCTATTATCGTTTGCCTCGAGTATCGCGAAAGCTAAGATGCGATAAAGGAACTTTACGAAAATCGAACCTGAGATTTCTATGGTCTACCCTCTTCCTTTCTTCTTTCTCATTTCACCTTTCTCGAAATTGTAATAGAAATTTCCGTATTCTTGTCACTTGAATCAACCTCGCTGCTGCTACATCGATTTAATAGTCATCACAGACGCTCGATTTCTACAAGCCATTATTTTCAGAGGCAATTCATCACGAAGAAAAAAAAAAAAAAAACAATGTTGATCGCGGGAAGAAGAAATCTGACAGAACTGTTTCGTGCGTTCGACTTTAACCACCTCTGAGCGAGCAATCAGTTTCTTCGTCGCGAGCTTTATAAAAAAGGACTTAATTATTGCCTCGACATTGAAATTTCAATTAATCATCCGGGGCCCCGTTCGTATCTAACGACGATCCGGTGGAAAATATTCGAAGAAAAGGGGAAAATTAACCGCGACATTTAGAAAACATGCAGCAAACACATTTTTGACATGAACTTCCTGAACTTTTGTAGAAATTGTCAAACGCTTATTTTTAGACGTTGTAATTAATTATAATGATGGATTAATATCGTTGATTATAACAATGCATAATAGAGATTATTAATCGTTGTGTTATAACAATTGAATTTTGCTACGAATCAACCGTATAATCGGGATTGTTAAGTATTTATTTTTTGTAAAAGAGAAGACAAACAGCGACGTTTGCCGAATAGTACAATGAATGAATTTCAGACGTTTCGATGAACTTACTCGCATCGAGATGTTGTTCTCACACGGAGAGTTATTTCTCGCGAGAGGGTAAAAACCGACTGCGACGTTTATTAAAACGCACAATAAACAAATCACGGGCGTTTTTAATGAAGTTCACGAATCGAAAGTTCCTTTTGTGGAAAGTTATTCCCTTTGAAAGAGGGAAACGCGACGTTTATAAAACGTATAATAAGTATAAATTTCAACCAACATGTCGAATGGAAAGTTTCGCTTTCACGGGAAATGCCGCTTCCCGACGAAGAGAGAGAACCAACCGTGACATTTATGACTCATGACGAATAAATTTTCGGCCCGGAATTTTCTCTAATGGGCTTTGCGAGTTCAAAACACGTAATTAAAAAAAAAAAGAAAAAGAAATTTTATTCGAATCGAAAGTCTCCTCTCTCCAGATTGTTATTTTCCGAGGCAACCAATCGATTTGTCAAACGTACGATAAATAAATTACAGTCGCGAGCCTCTCGCGAGTTGAAAGAGTCCCTTTCGTAGAAAATCACTCTGAGAGACAGGGGAGAGCCGAATAAATCTTAAACACCTCGAACGATCAAATACCCTATGGAGAAAATTATTCCGCAGTCATCGTGTACACAATGACATATAATCAGATGGATACGATAATACGATAAAACGGCGATTTATAAAACGGATTTCGAGCTCGGCCCGCGGAGAAACCGAGGGGGCCGCGCCGATTTCGAGGGCGTGAATTGAAACGGAGGGGCCGCGGCGCAATTTCGCGCAACAATGAAAAGCTGCGCCTCGCTCGTAGCTGCGGCAGGCGTTGAATGCCTGCGAGCGAGGCAACAATCAGTCGTCGATTCGAAATTAGCGTGTCAATATCATCTTTCGTCGGTGGCATTGTGTGCCCGCCCGTTGAAACGCAGCCCGTTAATAGGCCGTGATAATGCGGCACGTCCGTGATTGATGGCGGCCCGGGGAAACGGGAATTTTGAATAACAGAGACGCGCGCGTGTGCCGTCCATCTTAGAGCGCCGTTTAATTGCGTCGGTCGATCTCCGTTCCATGCCGGGAGGACCGCGCCTCCGCGACATTGAACCAGCATCAACGGAGGAAGTTCAAATGCCGCGAGAGTAGAGATGGGATCGAGCACACTCTCGAAATTTGTCATTTGTGACTGCGAATTTTCGCGCGTTTATTAAAAATTTAACGCGTTGACTGTCGTATGAATCAAACACGACTCGCGCCACGTTTGTTCAATGCGCTGCAACGTGAATCATATTTGCTTCGCGCAAACCTTTTTCTTTCGTTCATCCGTGATTCATGTCCGAATGAAATGCTTATGGGTAATGGACAACAGATGTCTGGTAAACAGATTTATATAGTTGAATTTTAACTATTAGATACTACAGGTTGCCTAGTTTATTTTTATCTGATTTAAGTCAAATTTTAAGCGTAGTGTTGAATAAAAAATATACCCAATTGCATGAAATAGGTACAGTATTTTTTATGTTACTTATTGGCAAATTACAAAGAAAAAGAAGGTGAGGTAGGAGTATTAAAAATTTTTTTTTAATATTATGACGTTCAACGTGTTAAATTTGGAAATTAATTTGCATGGAACTTGCAAAGTATGTATAAAATATCGGAGTACATCGCGTTCGTTGTGATGTTAGCTAGACGACGTTCCATCTTTTGGATTCTGTCTTTTCCAATCGTATTTATGAAAACGCGAATTTGCACGAAAAACCACGCTTGATTTATAAATGTTTTCACTGTTGCTTTTAATCTTTCAAAGGTAGCTTCCAATATTTCGTGAGTACTTCCAGGAATGGAGATAATATTCCCAAGCAGAGTTGAATACTAGTGGGGCACAGATAATGGGCTCAAATATTTCACGAGTAGATTCGAATCTTTTATAAAATATTTCCAATGGGAATACTTTCATGCGTATTTGAATCTATCGAAGCGTGATAGTTTCGAATGATCCGCAAATAGATCCACTTCCGCAAGTGAGAACAAAATGCCTACTTCAAAGTAGACGTGAATGCTAGATAAAAATGGAATTTACGAATTTATGCCTCGGAAGAAAAAACAAATTTATAGCCCTACGGAATTCTTAATTCCATATTTTCAATTCGTAAAATTTCGAGATTAATAAGTACAAATTGTGCGTAATAATTGACGTCTAACGATGCGACTACGATATGCTAATTTAAGAAGATCGAGAGAAGAAAACAGACATCTATTGCTACTTGCGAGTACGTTGAACCCCAACAGGTACTCGTTTTAGAATTCGAAACCAGTCCTGATAAAACGATCGCAAGATCAAAGTCAATCTTTGGCTTGAATTTTACTTTGAAGATACATGTCGTGCTTATTCCCATCGCTAGGCAGTAACCGCGTCGATATCGATCGATGAAAACGAATGAAATAAATATCTTTAACCATCTCTCGTGGGGAAACGGTGAATGAAAGAGTAAATTTACCGTTAGCGTAATGGCATTAAATATAAAACGCGTCGGAAAGTAATAAAGTTAAGAACGTAACCGGTCGTAAGAGAGAAATCGAAGTGATCAATAGTTAAAAATACTGAGCGATCCGATCGAACCGGATAGAATGATCAGGCGATTGAACCACTTCTTCTGAGAATAGACTTTTTCTTTTCTTTTCTTTTTTCTATTTTTTTTTTTTTTTCTTTTCTTCTTTCTTCTTGTCCGAAGATAATGGAATATGTCTGCGTAGAGCCGGCGCGATCGAGCGGTCTCGCGCGTTAAATAATGCAGCACGCAGACGGATATATCCGGTTTCCGAACTACACCGATTGCGCCGCCAAGTACGGAAAGAAAGTTCCCGCCAAGCTATTTTTGGCAAAATTTCATTAACGCGCGAACGAGCGACGTTCGACGTCCTCGCTAAGTGTAATACTCGAGAGTGTACGAAGCGAAGGAACGAAAACGGCGAGCAAAAGGGGGAGGAAGGATCGTTGAATTACCGCTTCGTGCAGAGACCTACCAGTGATTCTCTTTGCTCGTGGTATCAACTCGCATAACCGCTCACCTACGAGGATTACGCTCTCTAATCGTTTTAGTGGCAGAGCTTTGCTAATACCGAGAAATCCGAGAAGTGTTTCCGAAACATCAGCGACGTACTCCGTCAGATTCTGGTTCTACGTGCGAAAATTCATCGGACACTTTTTGTTTTTTCCTTGATAAGCATTTCACCGATTGCAAAGCACGGTGAAAGAATTATCGAATTTTCGAAGACACTGACGATTCTTGTGGATCTTGAATTTGGGAGCAGTGCGAATCGTAGAAATGATCACTTCGATGAAATTCACCGTTGCTCGAAAGTACGTAGACATTTCTTTCATTCGTTAAATTTGAAAATTGAAGGAGATTAATAATAAAAATTCGAATGAATTTCGTGTATTCTAATTCGCACTGCGTCAGAGAGCATGCATTGCCAATAATTCGCGTATATTGTCAATATTATCTCATTCATAACAATGTTACGTTCCCTTCTCATCTGCATATCTATCGTGTGTATTTGTACAAGCTTGCTTTGCGAATACACGGTACGCTTACTTTCAATAAATTCTATAAATCTCGCCAACATACTACCATGTTTAACGATAAACGTAGCAAAATTATCACGTAATTTTTTGATACTAGACGCACCGAGTGAACGCCCGTTTATTTAAGAAATTTGAACAATTCATTCGATCAATTAAATACTACTGAAATCGTAGATTCCAAAAAATTGGTAAATATTGACGTACTTTTGATATCGCAGTTATATTACGGGTACCCATAAGTAATATCGTTTTTTTGATACTGTACAAAATTTTATTATACGCAGTTTCAATCTAATCAATATTAATTTTCAACACAAAATTTTATTTTACTTAAGAGTACAGTACGGTATATATTTTCAAAACAAAATTTTATTTTATTTAAGAGTTAATACAGTTTTAATCTATAATATAATTTAACAATAAGCACACTGACAAATGTCAATATATCTAATTAGAATATAGATTATAATATAGATTATAATTATTGTCACTAAATGGCAACGTTTATTAAATTTAAAGGAAACGACATTACTCGTGGGTAATTACGCCCCCAATATTTAAAGAACGAAATTTCGCATGCATCAGCCTAATGATTGCTGCAATTTACTCGCTACAAAGCAACTCGTCTTTTGGAACTCGACTTTTTGGAAAAACTGAACCAAGTAACAGACTCGAGCCTGCTCGTCCAAGAATCCCCTGATAAATCCTGGTTAAACTATAAAAACTCGTCTAGATTCTCGAGGGGGCCACTCTTTTACCGGTGAATCGAAGCAGAACGAGCTACGTCTTTGATATCTCACTATGAAACTGAGGGCCGTTGCTTCTGTCCTTCGAAACAATATGCATTCCTTCTTTGGAATTGAAACAAAGTCTCAGTCATCTTGAGTTGACCGTTTCAATGCCAATAAGACCATACACCTATCAATGTAAATGCAAAATATTTTACTGATATACGTACATAGTATGTATATAAAATAATACGAGTTACGTTGTTGCGTGAAATGTCCGATTTAATGTTTAAAATCCATGATTATCTATAATTCAACGACCGAAAGTACTGTGGTCAATTTATAGCTTAAAGCCAACCGAAATATAATTACATCGTGTCATAATTTCATCAACTCTTTTGGCGCTTGAAATTACCGGAAGTCTGAAAATTTAATACCGAGTAAAAGAGCATGTAACGAATGAAAAATTCTTCGTTCACCTAGATATATAGTAAGGAGCAAAACTGAACCAACGAATAAAATTTTCTTTATAGTTTCCCAAAACTATAAAGAATCAGATAGTAAAGTTTCATGTTTCTATGCTTTACTTAACAATAAAAAATATTTTTCTTAAAAAATTTTGTTGAACAAAATTGACTCAATTTTGCTCCTTACCATATATATATATATATATATATATATATATATATATATATATATGCTTTGATTTATTCATTCAATTATATTGCAATAATATGTTGTGTTCTTTGAATCTCTAATGAATAAATTAGTAAATAAATTTTACTATTAATTACATATGTATTATATGATTATCTGTACAATACTCTGGTACAGGATTAATATTATGTTCAAATGAAATACTGACTGAAAATTAGAATTCATTTGCAACAAACTGAATTCCGTGTAACTGAAGTTTCCAATGTTACGTTGATGACGCCAAAACGTTTCCTTAAAAAAGTGTATAAACCGTGTAATAATATATACCACTATGTTATATATAACTCTAACAGATTATATATGCCTTAGAGGAAGTTTTAAAGCGACGTTTGTTTTTAAGATTATATTAACTAAAATAATATCTGACTGAAGTCTCATTAGTATCATTAAATAGTTCTCAACATAATTTTACTTTATCCCAGTATCATTTGATAATTTTCCAAAGTCGGTATTTCCCCGAAATCATCACTTTTTTAAGACCATCATTCCATTACATTCCGCTTCTAGTTGTATTTTCTATTTACATAAAAAGGAAAAGGATCCTTCAAAATTAACTTTATAACTCACTCGAAAGTTACCTATACTAAAAAGTTACATTTTGAAAATTTTATTTCATCGTCATTTCGTCAGTGAATCGTCAGAAAAATGCCAAACGACGTTTGCTTTTACCAAACAACTGTTAATTTGAAGTTCGAACAAAACCTCCATTTAGTTTAATGAAAAATCAAAAGATGAAGACTTGGACCGAAGCAAAGGGTCAAAGGGCCTCGAGGGGACGGCTCTCTGTCGAGCTGTCAAATTTAGAAACAGATCAGCGTGAAATAGTGCAATTTAGAACGTTGTTCCTTGTCGGCTTACCTCTGGGTGTCCTCGTGTCCGGTAACGTCAGCCACAGAGGGAACAGAATCGGCGCGACCAAAATGTAAGTGAGTCTCTTCCTGGGACTGCTGGGCCAGCCCATGTCCAACGCTTCCGGAGGTTCATCCTCCTCACCCTGAAACGAACGAATAGATTATCAAAGAGATAACCCCCTCCTCCTCGAGTAGGTCTCGCGCGAGCAAAACACACCGACGAAATCGTTTCTCGCGTGCTCCACTCGCGCCTCTCTCTCTCTAATTAACACGTCCGCTGTAATCTGTCTCCCCTGTATCCGGTGTTGGATGGAGCCAAGAAAGGAACCGGGTTTCCCTACTCGCGATACACTTGACCGGCGTTTATTGTTCGGCAAACACAATAAACCTCGCGGCGAGGAGAGATAGACTTCTAAATACTCGCGGGTAGCTCGGGCAAACGAGGCACAAAGCGCAACCCTTATATATCCCTCCATCCCTCGGCTAACCGCGACACAATGGCCCGGCAGATGTTTGGATTTTCCAGCAGCAATCGTTTCGCCGGAGATAATTGCCGCGAAGAGCAACGGCGACGAGCAATTCTCGCCGAGTGCACCGATAATTTCGGGGGAGGGTCGCGCGCTCGTGCGGTTTCGGCTCCAGTGTCCGACCAGAGATCGGCTGTACTACTGGCGGAGAGACGAACTCGAGTATCTCGCAAGTGGATTCGAAATGTTGGTCGTTCGTTTCGAATTTTTTATTAGTGTCGTAACATTAATAACTATGTATTAATATAAAATAAATATATTATATGGTTTTATATTAATATATGGTTATTAATATTATTTATTAATATAAAATCATATAATATCATATAAAATATTATATAATATTACATAAAAACATATATTAATAATTAATAATTATATATTAATATAAAACCATATAACATTAATATAAAAACAATATTAATAACCATAAATAATATTAATATAAAAGCCAATATTAACAATAGTATCCAGTAACTTGAGTAGTAGAAGTCGACCAATTTGAGACACAGCATTAACCGATTAAAACGAAGTGCTATACTGGCAGAGAACTGGAGTCAAGTGTCTCAAAAAGTAGATTTGAAGGGTTTGGTTCGTATTTTTTTATTAATAAAATAATATTGATATAAGTCCAATATTTTAGATATTAGATGAGAGTAAGAGAAGTTGATTAATTGTGAGATCATATATTCTAAGGCTGACCATTAACCGATATAAACGAAGAAGCGTATATTGAGAGATATTGGTCGATAACGATCTATATCTTGAACATTACGATATCTAATATTTTCTAATAGAATAGATTCGTCTATCTGCAGCAAGGTACGGATACTATGGTATCTGTTGTAATACCTCAATATAGTACTCTCAATATAATACCAATACCTCTCAATCTGCACCTCTGCCTCATTTATCTGCGCCAGAGGATGCTACACACTGATCTAATATCTCTCATTAAAGTAGAATCTCGTTTATTCGCACCAAGATACGGATAGTACGTTATAGTATCTCGTTTGCAGGAATCAGTTAATCCCGAGCACCAACTTACAATTGATCAAATTCTGTTATTCTTATCTACTGTCTCTTATCACTCAGAAACAAATAATAATAGGACGTAGACTTCTATTATCCGAACTCCTCGGTTATCCGAATCCCTCGCTTTGTCCTCATACGTCTAGATAAACGAGGTACGTGAAGAATAATAGTTGACCTATTTTTCATCTTTATACCACTGGCGAGATTCTAACTGAAGTAAGCATATTTTTCAAGGAGTGTGAATTGATCATCGCGATATCACCGTGGATTATCTTCCTATGATGTTTTCAACGATATCTCCGAGTATCGAGCACGCTCGAATCCAAGCAGGATAGTTTTGAATGTTTCATGACTACTTCTGGAAATGAAAGCAGACTCGAACGTGTCTGTATCAGCGTAAACGTGCCCGTACAAGATTCGAGCACTGCTTACGAGCTTCAAATTTCAGGAACGTTGAATTATTTATGAGCAAATCTTTCGAAATCTGTAGATCTCCGATTCGAAAGCAGCTTGCGCAAAATGAACAGGAAAATATTTTTACTCGCGAGTGTGCTTACACTCGTAACCCGTAAAACGAAACGAGAGAAGATATTGATAGCTCGGACTTGATCCCACCCCTAAGTATCCGACATCGATCGTCATCGATGGATCTCGACGTGTGCTGGTAAAATAAATACCGGAACGAACGAGCACCGAAATAAGAGGAGATTAATGAAGATAAAGGAGAAGGACGGAAGAGAGAAATTGCGGTGAGATTGGCGACCTTGGGCTAGGTCGAAAGGATAGAGAGGGGAGCGGCGTACTAGAAAACGCGGAACTCGGGCGGAAAAGCCATTGCCTGGTGACTTTACTTCGATTATCCGAGAGTAAAAGAGGGACCGAAATAGGCAATGTGTAGCGCAGCGACGCCGGGTGTAGCCAGAATTGACCCAGATTCGCGGTGCATTCAAAATGAAAAGGCCTTCTCACTCATTTAGGACAAAGAGGTTCGGGAATCCACCCCCCCCCCCCCCTCCCTCGCTCTCACTCGCCCAGACCATCGCAGCTAATATCGGGGAGAAGCTCGCGCTGCCAATTTCTCGGTCCGCGGGAAATCGGTTCAATCGGTCCGATCGTTTCTTCTTCAATTAGCCAGCCACGTCCGCGTCGCGTTTCAGTCGGTGGTCGTTCGCCGAGAGCGAACTGTCCTTCGTGTGCCTGCCGTGTCCGAGTTCACAGCCAGCCGGGACACGGACGTCGACCGTGAAAATGAAAACGGGCGTCGTTTCAGTATCGATCGCGATCGAGGAACGTTTCACGAAACGTTTCACCGAACGTTGCTTACTCGCCAACCGAGAGAGGGAGAATATCAAGAGCAAGGAGAGACGAGAACAACGTCTGAACGCTGTCAGAAAGGACATTAAGCTGAAAGCCTCGAGTTGGATCGGGGACGGCGAATCGTGACGAAAACGAAAGTCTCTTTCTCTCTTTCGAAAAAAAACCACTCCTGGCAATTGCCTTGTTTTTCAACCCGATGTGTCCTTTACTACTGCGTGGTAGTAATATACGAAACGACCTAATTCTACGACTTCGTCGTCCCGTTCGGCCATCGTCAGCTTCTTTCGCCGACTACAAATGTCTTCGTTAGCCGTGTGCGTCTCCCGCGACACGCTGCGAGCAAGATGACGCAGAGATCGTTTGTCAGAGGTCGACCGAGCGGAAAATGAAGCAGTTGCTCGCTTCATTTTTTTCCCCGTTGATCGTGTTCGCCCAGAATTATCGGCCGCCTATCATCATCCGCGGCCACAGACGATTGTATGAATTTCAGATAGAACGAGTAGCGATATCGCCGGTAGATCTTTCGCAGTGAGCGACAACCGATCGGCACGATCTCCCGGCGGGGAAATCACCAAGAGGAATATTTCCATCGCGCGGTGTGACGCGCCTAAATAAAAATTTACCGACCGCCATTTCCTCTTCCCGACGGCGTATTAATCGCGCGGAAGATAATCTAACATTTGCGAGGGTGGATGATGCGAAACGACGTAACCCGAAGAAGTTTGTTATTTCTTCGTTATTTCATCTATCATTTCGCTGCCTCCGACAGTAGCATGCTGAACGTTACTCGCGGTGCCAGAGTTTTTGTTTCACTTCGATTCGATCGATGTCGGACGATAATTGGCCCGCTGGCCGAGAGTGAGGTTATTTTAGAAATGGCCGCTGGTGGCGAAGCCGGGGGACCAGAGGGAATTTCACAGCCGACGTGAAACAAATTCAAATTATCGTTCCATGTACTCGCGCATAAAAAAGAAAAAAAAAAAAAAAGAAAAAACCAGAAAAGAATTCCCCACGGATACATCTGACCGTGTCTCTCGCGCGTTAACGTCTCGGGAAATGGGATCGCGAAGGACACGACGACCGAATTAACGTTATCGGGCCGTTGCGCCGGCCATTGTTCCTGTCACTGGACCAGCCAGTCCAGCTCAGCCTCTCGGCTTCGAACTCGGGCTCCACGTCTACGTGGAAATTCGGTTCGACGCCGACGTTTCGCACGGCATTACGGCTACCATCCACCTGCCTTCCCAATTGGCAGCCGACGAGGAACGCCGCTACCGATTGCCGCCGTTAACTACCTTCACGCGTCATTCGCAAGCTGTCGATATTCCAAGTCGGAGCGGTGCCGAGATTCGCAAGCTTTCCCGGGCAAGCTTGCCAATCGAAATCGTGATTTTCGACGGGACGGTGGACGGAACGTGGTTTTTTCTATTTTCTTTTTTTTTTTTTCTTTGGAACAGAAAATAAACTAAAATAAAAACATACATATGTGATAAACGTACGTAATTGGAGTACACGTGTACAATTTGGTGCTTTAATCGATACTGATTGCACAGGATGATTCAAATCACTGTTTTCTTTGGTTGAAATTAAAGAAAGAAAAGTTAGAGGAGTAAGTGTTTATCTTCACTAGTGCGATACAGCATATGTGCACTTTTTAAAATGAAAACGTCGATACACACGATCATTCGAAATTGTATCAGGGTAACATCGTTGAGAAAGTTTAAAGAAGTTTTACTTTGATGTTAATTGTTTAAAACTTGCGTTACGAAAAACAAGGGAAGATACGGATATTTCATGTGCGCTGAATTAATATTTGTACTCTAAAATTCCCTTTCCATGCTGTTTAAACATGTTAAAATTTCAAATCGATATCTGCATCGATGGGAAGATAGTTTGCAATATTCTACGTGAGTTCACTCTGTACAACAGAATATACATCCCGTGTATCAATAAAAAAATAAATAAATGAAACAAATACAGTAAAAGGGAAAAAAAAAGGTAATTCGGAGATTTGAAAAATAAAATAAACGGCTCGTAACATTTTATGCCCCGCGTGAAATTCCTGTACGATAAATTAATAAATATTGATTATATTTATATGTAAACAAGCAAATAAAACACAATACACTAATGAATAAATAAAACAAATATAGTAAAATAAAAAAGAAAGAAACTGGTAATTCGGAGATTCGAAAATAAAATAGACAGCTCATTCTATGCCAGACACCCTGTGCAGTTTCTATACGATAAATTAATAAACATTGATTATACTAATAAATACTACACTAATAAACAAACAAATGTAATAAAATAAAAAGGAAGGAAACTGATAATTCGGAGATTCAAAAATAAAAGAAACAGCTGGTAACATTCTATACCAGACACTCTGTGCCAATTTCTATACGATAAATTAATAAATATAAATATTAAATTAAATTAAATTAATAACTAATAAATAATAAATATTGATTATATTAATAAGCAAATAAATGAAACATACTGCACTAATAAATAAACAAATGCAATAAAATAAAAAAAGAAGAAAACTGATAATTCGGAGACTCGAAAATAAAAGAAACAGACCGTAACATTCTATGCCAGACACTCTGTGCCAATTTTTATACGATAAATTAATAAATATTGATTATATCAACAAACAAATAAATAAAACACACTGCACCAATAAACAAATGAAACAAATCTAAGGAAATATGAAAGAGAGAAGCTGGTAGTAGTTCAGAGATAAGAGAGGGTTCGTCGAATGCAGCAATTACCGAATCGAGGCCCGCGTCGAGGCCAGCGGCTATACCACCGTTGGGAAGTTCCTGGATGCCGGCGGTGGTGCCAGCGGTGGTCGTCGTCGTAGTGGTGGTCGTGGTGGTGCCCTGGGAGCCTTGCTGCAGCTGCAGAGTGGTCTCTTTCGACGAGGCACCGGAGTAATGGGCGGCGGTCGACGTCGCAGCGCCGTTGTGCGGCCTGGTGGCATCCAGTAACACCTTTAGCGACGCTATCGCGTGCAGTTGCGTCGCTTTCTCGTCCACTTTGCCTGAACAGCACCACAGATGCAGGTTAACGAGGAAAAACATCGATTCACCGGCTACAATCCTTCAAACGTATATATTCCCTTCTCTATCTACTCTACGGAACTTGAGTCAACTTTCAAATAACTTACTGTCGATCGGGCGTCGATGGTACGTTACATGCGTTTCCTTTTACGCACGATTATGAAAAAAAAAAAAAAAATAATACCGTGGATTCAAAGTAGATCATTAACGATCGAAAGTAACAATTGAACCGTTTAATTCGCAAAAAATTTCGCAGTAAATTTAGTGATACCAATTTTGCATTGATAAAGAACGGCGACACTCTTGAAATGGACATGTATAAGTATGTGTAGTTTTGTTCTAACTTGTGAGTCAATATTTTGTCTCTTAGGTTGGATCCTTTAAAGTTCATCTTCGTAGTATTACGTTTGCCTTTACGTTATTTAAAGATGGAATATCATCAACAATGATTAAATATATGTAGATCCGATATAGACATAGACATTGGATATTCGAATATTCGAAAATAAAGTAAATACTCTACTCTTCTTCGTTACTGTGAAGAAAGTTAGAACCATTTTTGGCCATTTCGACAGCCTAGTAAACTATAGTTTCTTTATACTTTATAATATTATAAAATACATACATTATATTGAAGAAAAAAATATCAAGTCGATTCGTTGAATTTCTTTCCATAAGCCCAATATCAGAAAAATATATCGACAACACAAATTAATGTACAAATAACTTGAAAGAATGGCAAACGAAATATCGTCTTTAATGGATCACCGCCTGTTCGTTTCTAGAATTTTTGTCAAAAAAATATTATTCGCGAATGAACAATCGTTTCATTTTCAACTCGAATCTGACCATCGGTATCAACACATTTATCGTTATTTACGTTATTATTTACAACAGCGAGTCGCAATAAGTAAATCGACGCCCGTGTCCGATTGCTACAAAGTGCAACTGGCAAGCGAAAACCTTCTTTCTTTTTTTTCCCACCAGCACCTACGTAACCAAATTCCAACATCGTGCAACATAACAACGGGATCCGTGTCCATCGGCCATCGCGATGGCGACGTTGGAAAATTGGCCGCGGGTTCCGCGGATGCGCAACATCGACCAATATATAACATTCGCCCGTATTCGTTCCATTTAAGCGTGCATCTAAAATCTAGCCAAAGCTGCAACTACGAAATAATTATGAGCAAGAGTCATTCAAAGGCGTTCTCGTGCGCTTCATTGCTACGTTCTACTTCGCCCGATTACCTCCAACAACCTTGCGTTACGTAACAGTTACCGTTTCCACGACTATTTCGCCAGCCTACCAACGTTAACTGTTAACGATCCGCAAATCTGCTGCTCTACGAGTCGCTAAAAAGCGATTTTCTACAACAAGGCCCGATACATACTATGGATTTTACTGTCTCGTTTCGCTCGGCGATGCGACCTTAAGTGTCTTTTTTATTACGAAATAATCGATCTTCAAACTCGTGTTGTTACTGTGATGAACAAACATAGAATGATAGAAGATAGACAGAGATCCGAGATAATGAAATATATAAAATACACATTACGATATATGAAAACTTACGTTAAACTAATTTATAAGAAATATACATGTAAAAGAAAATTAGATACTTTAAACACATTTTGAAAAAGATCATTAAGTGAGAATTTAAGTTCCTTAAATGGAAGTTATAGACTGTTAAAGAAATTTTTTAAGAATGGTTAAAAATATTCAGTTTTAGTTACAAATAACTATCGTGAAAATTAGCACGGAAAATAATTTTTCTGGCTACCAGTAACCATCGTTCGTGTCATGAAATTTAATTTAATTAATTATCGACAAGAACTCCATTTTGATCATTGGTAATTAAATTACCTGATAATTAATTAATCTTTCAAATTTCTGCCATAACGTGACGTTTCCCTTCAAGTCTCACTAATTCGACGAGCATTGAAATGAAAAAAACTCGTCGCGTAAAAATTTGAACGTCATTTGAACAAAGAAGTTGAACAAATTGAAACCGAAGCTTGCAATGCGAATCTAAACGATGAAATAATATTTGATCGTGATCGATAACGAATCGTTAGTGAATCGGGCTTGGAATCCCGTAAAAAAGGGATTTCTGTACGTAGAAAGGGCAACCAGAGCAGAAAATGCCATTAAGGTATTATCGTTTCGCGAGGACTTCGAGCCGTTTGTCGCTCGCGTGTAATAAGTTTAACTCGCGCGATTGTCGCGCGATCGTCACGCAATTGGATTATCAGAGTCGGATGCCATCGCGCGTGAGCAGATCGGCCCAGGTAAATCGTGTTTAAGAAAATTACAGCGAACGGATCATTGAAATCCTTTTACATTCTGAGTAAGAAAGTACGTTCAAAACATCGCGTTACAACCTACCATCATCGAATACTAGATCTCTTTTCTTTTGCTCTCAAATTAAAAAAAAAAGTGATCGTTTATGCTAGCATTTTAAGGATAGTTAATTTCAATATACTGCCACGTCTAGTTGAGCACTTTTCTCTGTCTTTTTTAATCATTAAACGATGGATTTTAGTGCATTTTTCAACTTTCAAAAGTTCACAATTAAGGAAATGGAACCTACTTTAGATATTTTATATATTTGCGTCGGGTGTATCCGTGCACTTTTGAAATTTCGTAAAGATCCGCGATCTATCTGTTACACTTTCTATTTCCCATCTTCGAATTTGATTTGACTAATCTCGTTACAAGAATTTCAACATCTAATATTGCATGTAATTATTGTTGTTTTTCTCAACGATATATGCGACCCTTGAAAACGAGTTGTACCCATGATTAATAAATTTAAAATAAATTAAATTCCAAACAATTCGTTGACTACTTGCCCATTTTCATTCGCAACGAGCATTTCACAAAAGGCTGTTGCTATATCACGTGCAATCGTCACGTCCACTCTTCGTGAGAATCGATTTCTCTGTCATGATTTCTTTCAGACACGAACACTTTCGAATATGAACCGAATTAAGAAAGAAGAATCGTTACGGAGAATCCTTTCGTTTTTATTTAAAATTAACAAAACCGATTAAACGATTGTTCGATGGAACACAATTAAATATGAAACATCGTTTCTCAAATGGTGTAATCTTGATCGTGCGTCTTCAAAGTATTACACATTTAATTGAAATAACTTTTTCAACTAACAAATTTCAAACGTTGCAAGGATAATCAAGTTGAAGAACGCTCAAATGTACGTCTCTGGCAATATTTAGCTCGTCGTTCTCCTTTTTTTTTCTTTTTCTTTTTCTTGCTGGAATAATTTATAATATTAAAGTCTTTACGTCTCTGCCGCGAAGAAACCATTTACAGCGGACAACATTCCTATTGAAATCGTGCTTTTGCGACGCTTCGCGTATCGCAGCCTCGGGGGTTCAGAAAAATTTCAAATGGCCAAGAATCCCAGCTCGCGTATAAATTACCGTTATCTTTTCACCCCCGCGAACGAAATACACAGCCTCTCCGAGTCGTCAAATATTTTCCCAGCCTCTCGCAAATAAATTCTCCAGCGAAGTGTCTCGCATTTCCAAGAATAATTTTCCCCTCTTAATTCAAGAGCTTTGCGGTCTCTTCTCAATCATCGAAACTCAAAAAAATCTGATACGGAGGAACAAAGTCAAAGCGCATTGTTAACGACCCCTAAATCTTAATCCTGCTGTTAATAGAATTAGAATTTTGATAATTTTAATGATATTAAATATATGATAATAATATTAAATGAACGATATTAATAATTTCAATAATAATTAATAAACTTAATAATTTTTATACGATTGTATAAAAGCTATGAAATAATAATTTTAAAGCTATTTATACAATTGATGAAGCTGTTGAATCATAATTTTTATAATAATGGCAATAAATAGTTGCTCTCGTTTTTATATAATCATTAAATTTAGTATTGGTGAAATAACTTCTAGCAGAAGTTATACAGGAATCAGTATAATGCGCAAACGTCATGTCTCAAGGATTAAGAAAAAATTTACAAATTTTAAGTGCAATTGGAAATTTCCGCTTCTTAATAAGAACTATTCTTCTGAAATGGTGGAACAACTCGGAGACGAGATTACTTTTATAACACTTTTTGTTTCGAAACTTCTCGTTGAAAAGAATGTTTCGAAAAATACTACATATACGAGATGGAACAGTATAAAATATAATTTTTGTATAAAACGCGAAGATGATCTTGTTTGTTTCCGATTATTATTTATGATCCAGTTACAAAACTGAATCTAAATCTTAACTCCAATTACAAACAATTACTGTTTATTATTTTTAATATCAACTAAAATATTATATATATTTTATATATATATCATACATAACATTATATATATCATACATATTAATATTATATATCATTATTATTTCATGCAATAAAAATTAATCGTGACCAGCGCGATACCCTTTTATCTTTCTTCTAAAAACTAAATACGACTGCAAAGGGTGTAGTTCGTAACTGCGAGAATCGCCAAGGTGATTATGATATCGTTGCATACGTCTCGAAATCGGCGGAGCAGCGACGGAAACAGCCAACACAAGGCACTCGAGGTTCGTTCGTTAGTCGTCCGAGACTACTTCGTTGCCGCGACGCGAGCCGATCTCCTGCACTTATTCGCGCGATACTAGGTCAAAGAAGAAGCTCGACGGGCCGGGAAAGAATGGCGAGAAGAATACTGAAAGTCTGCGCGCGATATGAAAGTATCTGTCTAGCCGGAGGCTACCTCATTTGCTATTTATCTCGTTTCTCTTTCTCCTTTGTTGCTCTTTCCCCTTTCATTTCTCCCTGTGTGCCTCTTTTCTTCTTCCCGTACGTACGTACGTACATACATACATACACACATGCGCGTATGTAAAAATACGTTATACCTTTCCGGAGTTTCTCTCTCGTTCTTTTTCTTTTTTCTTTTTTTAAGATACGTTATTAGTCGTGTTTATCGATCGACTCGTTCGCGG